AATGACAAGGAAAATGGAACCCTAACAAGACTTTTCAATAATTCTGAAGACCTTTGCGCAACTCCAAAATTGAAAAAAATTGAAGGAAGTCGTCCCAATATTGAGTGAAATCATCAACTGATTCCATAGTAAACCCGCTTAACGTCTCAGCGATTCTATAAGGCCATCAATAATGAACTGAATCTGCTTTGTTATTCTTTGGAATAATTTGAAAATTAGTTGGGATTTTCTTACACTTGAGTTTTATGGTAGAATAATTCGTTCTTAACTCTTTCTCCCCTTCGACCCGAATATGGCGGTTTAGTGAAAAAGGTTGCTTTGAACACATTGTGAGTTTGGACTAATCTGATCCAGCAAGAAAATTACAGTCTCAATAGGGTTTCACAGGCGACTTTTGGGCGCGACTCTATATACTATTAACAGAGACCAACTAAATTTGCACCAATAATTAAGTTTTCAACAAAAAACCTGTGACATTACCCTCCCTTTCAAAAAACGAGAAGAGCGTCGGGTGCAGACCATACACCACAAGTGACGACGGCCTCCACAAAATGTAAATGTTTTCTGCCAATGAAATGATTAGCCTGTGCAGTTGTATTCTATCAGTTGTCACTAATTACAACTATCATTTACCAAAATCAGCTATCACTATGAACCGCTACTAACCAGATTTACTTGAAGGCCGTCGTCACCATGGTCAACAGTCTGTTGGCACTATTCGAACGAGGAAATCGCATATGTGACTCGGTAAAGAGGTTCGCATTATGGGGTCGAGCAAGGTGTTCATAGTGGGAGCGGAGATTAACGGAGTTCGTAAAGGGATGGTGTTTAGAGGAGGTGACGAATTTTGTGAATGTTCCCCTCCCCCGCTCGATGGTCGTTTTGGAAGGAAATGTGGGGGAAGTTGGACCGTAGAAACGGCCATGATGGTGAGGGTGGTGGTTGTAGAAAGGGCAAGGGAAGGGCTTCGAAGACTGATGGTGGTGATAGGGGGTCGCATCGAGACCCCATTAAAGAGGGTGGGAGTCGCAACATTTTTGAAGAAGTTCGAACGTGACGGTTGATCCTGGTCGTCACTTGTGCTGTGTGGCCAGCACCCGACATTGTTCTCGTTTTTTTTAAAAAAGGGTTTTCTGTGAGGTCTCTTGAACTCGTTGAAATATGTTTGACGAATGGTGCATGATTGAGCACGGGTGGCAGTTTTGTGACGAATTTGAATCTCCCTTGACCACTAACAATTTTATCTTGAACAGATAGTCTTGCATATTTCACAATCTGCTGGTAGTGTCGCTCACAATCTGCCTCCTTCACTCAAAAATCGGTCATCAAGTGCTAAGATAGCTTTCAGTGCCTTAAGTTGGTTTTCTTTGGTCACATTTATCATTGCGACATCGTCATCGCCGTGGGAAACAATCGTAACGAGTTCGGCCGATGATCTCGCTCGGTTTCCTTCTTCACTTTCTTCTCACAACTCTTTTACCGACCATCAACTGCTTGACTCTTCCTATCGACAACGGCATCAAAGGTTCGCCTTGATTATAAATTTGGGTTTCACTTTTCCATAGACCTTTTTTACCAGGTGAGCCAATCATTGTGTGTGGTCCTCGCTCAATATTCGTTACTATCGAGACAGAAAAACCGTTCGCCGGCAAACTTTACGTCAAGGTCAGTTGTGCGAGTTTTTGGACGTAACATAATTGTTTGTGATGTTCGCTCAACGTTCGTGAGTTTCTGTTCAGCACAGGAAAGGAACGTTCACACAAAGGAGAAATAAGGGCTCAGCTAAGCCCTACTAACATTGTATAATGCGATATTCAATCCCAGTAGTCGTCTCCCAGGAGAATTCGTCAGTGTATTTAACGAATTCCTTTGCGGGGCACAGCCAAAGGAGCTTATCGGAGTACTTGTGCAACTGAAGGACCAGTCGCGCTAAAAGTGAATATCTGTCGAATGTGGTTAAGTCTCGCAAGGACGACTGAGCAATCACTTCCCCACCCTCACCAACTTTAACACGTTGACGACATCGCGCGTTTTGGGTTTTTGCACCGCGTGGGACCAAGCGATTTTGCGAGCGCCGCCGCCTCACATCAAATCCATGGATTTTGAGCTGTGAATACGCAATGCTTAGATGCGATGAAGTGTTTTCAATAATTGTATTGATGAGTGATCTTGAAGCTCTTGTAATTTACTATTTATTGGTTAGCTTTCGGCAATAATGCCATCATCAGACCTTAAAATTACAACAATTGCACATGATCAACTAGTTACATTACAAAAACACTATACATCAATACATACCAGCGAGAAAGGAGAGTAGTGGGACCTTTCGGGGTCTGGCGGGAATGGAAAATGAAGCACCAACCCCGAGGCAAAGGACTTAGTTGATCACGAAAGAAGCCTCAGAAGGTCACGTAGCTCTTCTTTTGCGTTGATTTCTGGCTTTATACGATGTATTTCCCGCGCCTCCATGATTTTCCTTTCCAGCGGCCGCACCAAATGTCTGTGAAGAACGCTCACGTCAAAGAACTATGTTTTCTATGTTCATCTAGGCGAACCTTCAGTGGTCTTGCCGTCTCCCCCACGTATTTCTCTCCACATCCTCTACACTGAACGAGATAGACGGTGCCTTGGAGTTCACAAATCTTTTCCGACGTACAATACCGACAAGATTCTTCGTGACACCGACTTTCGTAGATCCGCGATGAAGTGAAAAGATCCTTAAGTGTAGGGGGAGGGCGGAAGACCAGTCGAATTGGAAGCTGAGAATTTTTCACCGCACGGTTCACCTCACGAGCCAGTTTGTCGCTGACAAATGGTACTACAAGAGTTATTCCGTCCAGGTGATCTATGTGGGACCCAGGTCTCAATAATTCCTTGAACCGTACCCGTAAGATCTGGAAAACCTCTGCCGAACTAAAGAATATGGCCTTTCTGTGAGCCATGTGGTTTTTAAGTATGCTAATGTATTACCTATAGAATGAGTACAAAGAGCCTAGGGAATAAGTCGCGCAAGCCTAGGGTTACCGGGTCGCAATGTCCCACGAGGTGCGTAAAGTGGGACGTGTGCGCTAGTACCCCTCAAATTGTAGGAACCTTCAGCCATTCCGCACCGTGAGTCGTGCTTTTCGAGCCATGGAGAGAGCGCCCATGTCGGGAAAATCGAATCCGCATGAGTTGGATGAGGTCGCTTGGAAGACACTTGTAAAATTCTGTCAACTAGACGCCCTAGGTTTAATTGGCTTGACAAGGGGTCACTGGGGTTAGAAGTGCGCAGTATATCCGGGCAACATACACAGTTGGACATGCGGCTCAGTAGTGATAACATAAGGAGAGGAGGTGTCGGCGGCTCAAAGGTCAGCTCTCAGATATTAAGCCACCTTCAAGCCTTTCAAGAGACGATCCCCTCAAAATATCCGGCTATCAAAAATGTCTGCAATTAAAAAGCTCGCTAGCAGAAGAAAAACATAAAGTATTGTAAGAAGTAAGAAAGATGTTTTCGCTCTTCAGGGATTCTTCCACATTCCTGCATGTCAAGTGAATGGAAACTTCTCGACGACGATGGCGATGGAAATTCCAATCACTTCGGCTTGCGGACTACGTCGAAGTCGAATGGTATACATAATTGACGGGTTCCCATGGTTCACAACATTGTGTTGTTATTCTTTTTCAAAAAGTCAACATAATTGGCAGTGAGAAACCCTGGAAAGTGGCGAGTGCTGCTCATCATTTTTGGAATTCAGGTCGCAGATATGTAGAATCTTTCTCCCGGGAACTTGTCAACGTTACCCCTTCTGAGCTGTCTGGGTGAACATTAAGGATCAGTCTCAAAAAATTAATTGAATTCGGACTCCTGTCTACGTACAGCCTTTTCTAGAGATCCTTGATCGAATGGAAAAAAGGAATGATTAGCGGGAATGGAGGTTGAAATTTGAGGAAAGCTATCGATTGCTCATTTGTAACCAATTACTTAAGCTGGTTAAGGTGCAACCCCGAGGAATTGCAGTAGACTCAACTGTCGTGTTGATGTTTCATCCAATTTTCATGACGCAGGTCGATAAGGCTTACCATGTCCAGTGCAACTACCTGGAGGTGAACAGCGAGGTGACGCGAAAGCTGGATGTGAGGTAAGGTAATAATGTGCAGTCTATTAATGAGAGTGATCCAAATTTGTGAAAGGCAATCAGTCAAAACAGTCCGAGAGACTCGAAATGAAGAGGTGAAAGAACGATAGTGGGAGATAAGAGGGGATAGCAGGGAGCAGTCTGCGGATGCCGCAGTGGAGGCAACCATGTCTGTTAACTAAAGGCTGCGAGTTGTGGCTTCTTCCGCTATTACTACGCCTCTCGAAGTGAAATTGGCCTTATCTCTGCAATCGTGGATCCACGTAGCGGAAAATTTGTCCAATAGTCTAATCGAAGAACGTGCCTCTGAATATCACTTTGGAAGAAATGGAATTGTATGACCGTGAACTAGGATCAATTTAAACTTTTTGTTCTACATGCATAGTGGATATAACATTGTTCTCCTAACAATTTGTTGGCAGCATGCGTTCTCCTACGGAACTACCGCAAGGGATCGCCCAGCAGGACGAGAAGACGGCGCCAACATGCAAATACGAGGTAATGCTTGATTGCGGAACTTTGATGTGGGATACCAATATTAATACCTTGGAGCCCATGCAGCCCATATGTGGGCTGCAGCCCGTCGACAACATAGGACCTTACAGCTCATAAATGTGAAACAAAGCCAAAGTTTGTTTGTTTCCCTTCCATTTTATTTAAGGTTCCCCCTCCATTATGCAGCAGGTTTCTTTCTCCATTCTGCTTGATAAGATTCCTGAAATCTCACTGAAGTTATACGCGGCTGAAAAACGTAAAACATGCGCGATCTCCAAAGTGTTAAACCATGTGTTGATTTCAGAATGGTAGGGTCTTTATTAAAAAAGATTAGGAGAACTCACTTGAGGGCTTTGTATAAATCCTTCCGAACGAACTTCTTCAAAGTTTCTAGATGTGTTCAAAGGAAGTTCACGGAAAAATCATGATTCTATTTCAGCCATAAATCACTGGCTTGAGACTCATTATCCACGATAAGAGTGAAAAGAACAGAAATATTGCTTTGTTTTGGTAAAAATTTGAAAATTGAGAAAGGCGCTCCGCGATCTCCGCACATTTGTCACAAATGCTGGCGACGGGAATGCTTGTTTCTCGGTGTGCCGTCACTAGAAACTCTTCCTGCTTTGACTTATTGCATTAACATCTCACACTTCTACTGCATCCTATTCTATCGATCGATTTGTCTCTACTCTCCAAAATCGCACGATTCTTTCATTGCGTCGCCTGATACGTAGCCGCCCAAGGCGGACTTCTTTCCATGCCTCGCCTTTGGCTCCGCCCTTTACCTTCGATTGTCCATAGAGTGTAGTTTTTGTACGTTTGTTTCTCTTCGGAAACCGAATCTTCATGCGTGAAACTTTGTGTGCTGTTTCCAGTGATCACAACTGACACATTCATGTTAGAAAGAATGCAAGAATTTTCCGCGAAGGATTCCTTTAACATAATGCACTACACTGCGCTGCGTAATGATACTCCCACCTACAAAATTTCACAAAAACTTGCATCCGAAGATGTTTTCGAAAAAGGCTCTACATTGAACTGTGTTGGACCTCGACCGGTTCTCATTATCAACACAATGTTCCAATTTGAAAACACAACAATTGTTGCCTTGCTTCTGTTTTGCCTTCCAGGTTTGTTATGGTGAAATGCTTTATTGGTCGACAGCGAATGAATCATCGTTTTTAATACCTAAAAACTGGGTAGCTCTAGTACAAGCTCCTCCACTTATCCCCCCCCCCCAATTCGTCAAGCATTTCCCAGAAAACTCGAAACAAGACAAGATTCCAGCAAGAACCAACCTCTTACGAATCCACCACTGATGATCCACCATTGTGTTTTACGAGGGTCATTACGAGCACTTGGTTCAACCCGAACGTTACAATCTGCCCGTTATGCTTATCCAGCATTTCGAAAAGAGCATGGAAAGCTTCACTGACGTCCACATTCGTATAGAGCCTTTTTAAGTCAAACGACTACGCTACACACTTTGGACTCTACAGGAACGTAGTATTTATTGGTGTTAGCAAAGTGTGAGTGTACACATCGGATGAATTGACCAAATATTTTCTTCAGAAACCACGAGACCGGTTTGTTTGTCCTCCCACACAACTGATGACAGGTCGGATCTTGTTATCGAATGGTGATCTTCGTTGTTTAGGTTATGAATTCTGATAAGGCTGTAAAGTACCAGGCACGAGGGAGCATTCAGTTTTATCTGATCGAGCTCTCATCTAATCCCGCCGATTTCCCAGTTGACGTCCAAGCGGAGTCCAACCTGTGGCATTGGGTTCGGAAGTTTTTCTGTTAGTGCGACTGTAGGCAAAGTGTCACTTAAGTGGAGTTCCGTAATTTCCCGATCTAGCGTACACGGTGAAATCACAAACTCTCCACCTCAGCCGCTCATATGCTAAGCGTTCTCGGATTTCTTGAAGCCCTTCCACTGCGTTTGTGATGCCTGGAAACCTTTCTCATCTGTGTCTGCTGAAAACTTCGAGCGTTCCTGGAGAGCGAACTCTGATTTTAATCCCGTTTCCAGGAAACGTCAGCTCTGTGTAAAACGAAGGTGGGAAAGGAACTGGCGTTAGTGTAGGTCTCTCATATTCTGTATTCGAGTGCTGTTGCGCATTACGATACGCATTCCTTCTGAGTTGATCTCTTAGCTTATGGAGCCCTGTTACTACTTGGCGATAATGTAGAAGGTCCCAACTCCCTGTGCTAATTGAAAAAGATGGCCCAAGATTGAGCAAATCCAAAGCGTCCTTCGGAATCACTGCTTTTCCAGCTACGTAACCGTTCCCTGATTTTAACACGTTGACGACAGGCTGACGCGCATGCGCGTCAGAAATTTTGCACCGCATCGGACATTCTGACGCGCATGCGCGTCAGAACTATGTTCATTTTTATTGTGCTTGCGCTCCTTCTTCTCGAGTTTTTTGTATTCATTCTATAGATAATACATTAGCATAACTATAAACCACATGGCAGCCAGAGTGGTCAAATATCCCTTGATTTAGCAAAGATTTTCTGAACGCACAAAACTTTCATTCAATTCTTTCCTAGTATTCCTTTCACTGTCGTAACATTCATATGAAAGATTGTAGAAGCAGTTAATACAAAACTCTGTGAGTTTCAAGATATTTGTATTTGATGGAAGAACTTAGGTATAAATGCTTTTAACTTCATTCGCAGCGAAAGTGATGTTTTTTTGCTTCTTCGTGGTCATTATGCGTTCTTCTAAACAAAAATCTACTGCTATTTATATAGGTGACCTTTACGCTTTCATCCTTGCCGAAATAATTCTATGAGATTCAAGTTGTT